CTAGCGATCTTACTGCGCTTTGCTTGCATATGTTGGTTGGGGTAAGTCAAAACCATTCTCAAATGTCTGCTACCCAGGACTAAATCCACTTGAGGGCAAGATTTCCTCATTGCCTGAGCCTTTAAGGTTCATGACTTGGCTTCTTACACTCCAGTCGCTGCTTTTTCAACATGTGGGGTTGCCGCGACCTCAGGAAAACAAGTTCACCCCTGATTGGGGAGGCATGCAATGGAACCTCCATTATTCCCACCTATAAAGATGTCATTACTGCAGTCATGGTTACCTTTGATGATCGGTGATTAACACATGGATTTGCTCATCAGGGTAAATAGAGAAGACACAAGAGTAGAGTAGAAAAGATTGTGAATCGAGACCTATCGAGAGAGAGTTTCGACTTCCTAAACTCTATCATAAACGAGAGGTAAATTACTCTCCAATGGAGTCGCTAGAGATTTGGTCGCTCCGAAATGTGGGTGCGTTAAGAGAAATACATAATGTTTAAACAAACATTAGACTCCATATAGAAAACCATAGGACATCACATTCGAGGCCAAATTCATTCGTGCACTTAATATCAGAAACACATGCTTTATTATTTATACTTGGTACTGAGCAATTCCAGAGATTTATCCTTTCTTACATTTACATCGACTTAAACAATTAAAATACATCGAACACCTTTGATTTTGATTTTGAAACCTATACATCCATTTTTAAAGAAGAAAATACAAATATGTTAAAGAGAAAAGATAACGTCGAGGGCATATTGGCCCATATACCTGTAAGCAGGGACTTGTTATCCTTGAGTCTAGTCTTCAAAAGGGAACGGGTCCAAGTGAATAGTAGGAGATGATTATCTCTCTTCTTGTGTCTTGAATATTACTCTCTTCTCTACTCTTGATTCCTACTGAGGCACAACCTCTGAAGAACTCTTTATCTCTCTTCTAAACTGTGTCTCTCCAAAGTGCGACCTCATCTTCAATTGAGAAGTTGAAGAAACAATTCCCCTTTTGCACAAACTGATTGGCCGTACAATCCGTAAAGCTTTTAAGGCTTTAAGTGCCGGACAATGATACTGACTGTGAATTAAGCCATCATCAGACAGTTCATGACTGTTGTTGAAACTAAGATGGGTTAAGCCATCTCTGGGCAGCTTTAGATTGCTGTTGAAATTGAGATGAGTTAAGCCATTTCTCAGCAGCTTTAGACTGTCGTTCAAACTGAGATGGGTTAAGCCATCTCTAGGCAGCTTTAAACTGCCGTAATCCTTAGTCTAATATCAAAATCCATAGACTAAGCCATACTCTGATTATAATCAAAAGCGGGGCACTCTTAAATGACGATAACACTACCCATCCTCCATAGGTTCGCTACATATCTCCAAGTGGTTTATTCTTAGTCTTTCATTGGGACTAAGTGTTCATACTTTCCGAAGGCAAAGTATGAATCATTAGCAACTCGATAAATGTATTTAGTCTTGTTTGTGATAAAAGTACACCCAACACATGGCTACTGCAGTTTCCTCTCCTTTAGAATTGTCAAACCTTGAAGAGCTGCTAGGATTTCTACTTCATTTACCATCTTTTCACCACATGGTCCAGCATAGCATAGGATAACTACTCATCTAGAATCTCTCTCTACACCTCCCATCTCAGCTAGACTCGGATTCCCCAATGAACTACTGTCAAACTTCAATTTCAAATTACCCTCTCCCCGAGCTTCCCATCACCCTTTTGGTCTCATTTTGATAACTTTCTACAACATAAGATTTTGCAGGTTCATTTCTACATGAACTTTGGACACCCCAAACCCCTCCTTTGTGATTGGAAACCAACTCCATATGGTATGCATAATTCTCCTTTTAATCATCGAGATCTCCATAGCCACTCCTTCAAAAACTTGCCTATTCCCCTCTAGGCAAACTCCCAAATTGAAAAATTAAGACCCCAAATTTTGGTAACCCATGAAATGTTAAAAAATCAATAATCTGAGTATGATGTTGAGGCAAAGAGTCTACCACTCCAAATCTTCCAAATAGCCAACACCATAGTTCATATGTAAACGAGCAATGGAGGAACAAGTGATCTCCAGTCTCATGTTGAAAAAGTATCCACAAGAACAACTTCACCTTATGAAGTTATCCAAAGTTAAGGTCTTACGTTGAAAAAGTATCCACAAGAACAACTTCACCTTATGAGGAATATTCCATGCCCAAATCTTTCTTAGGGAGGTTCTGTTCCATCTAATTTGATTATGATACAGTATTCTATAAGCCGATCTGACAGAGAAACAACCGTCGCTCTCAGCCTCCCACACCATCTCGTCATCAGCATTATGAAATAAACTTACCCCTTCTAACTATTGTAGGAGCACTGAGTACTGCTCTATAAATGCATCATTGACTATATTATAACGACACCTTACCACCCAAGTGTTCCTATCCTAATCATACAGTTCACTCACCTTATCCCTAGAACTCACTGAGGCATAAAAAACCAATGGGTAGGCAACCTTCAAAGGGCAATCACCAATCCACTTATTATGGCAAAATGAGAATTTTGATCCTCTACCAACTTCCCATCTCGATGTTTGTAGCATAACCTTCTACTTTGCACTATCCCTTTCCATACAAAGGATTGGAATCTTGCTCCCCACCTTCGCTCCCCACCTTCCCCTCTCCTATCCATTGGTTTGACCAATCCACACCATACTTTTCTCTAAGAATAGAGATCCATAAAGCCTCTTTCCATGGTCTCGATCTCCACCACCATTTTGCTAGTAGAGACCAATTTGTATATTTCAATCTGCTAATCCCCAGTCCCCCCTCCCCTACCGATGTGCACACTATATCCCAGTTGACAATGTGATATTTCTTCCCAAAGTCACCTGAGTCCCATAAGAAACATCTCATAAGTTTTTCAATCTGCGTCGATACCTACAAGGGCATCATAAGAAAAAACATTTGATAAACTGGCAATTTAGACAGGGAAGATTTTATCCAAGTAGTACGTCCACCTTGGGATAAGTGTCTAGCTTTCCACATATCTAGTTTAATATTAGCCCTTTGTATCATTGAGTCTCATATCGACTTTGGCAGCCTCCCATCCGAAATGGGAAAACCCAAGTGGGTAATAGGAAACTTCTCCACTTTGCACCCTAAATGGAATGCAAGGGATGGAATAATACTCCCTTCACACCCTACTCCAATAAATGAAGTTTTCTCAAAGTTCACCTTTAAGCCGAGCCTAGCTTCGCAACAAAGTAATATCCTGCGGATGTTGACAATCTGATCCACATTAATAACACAAAACAAAAGTGTATCATCAACATACTGCAAGTGAGAGGCTTCTTGTCCATTCGGTATCACCATAAAGGCATTAAATCTACCCCGTGACACCATAATTTGAATACATCTACTAAAGGCTTCATTTATGATTGTAAAGACAAAAGGTGAAAAGAGGGTCACCTTGTCACAACCCTTGGGTTGCTTTAAAAAATGCTTTGGGACTTCCCTCCACCAGAATCGAAAAATGTGTGCTACTAAAACAACCCCTTATCCACCCGCACCATTTCTTCCCAAACCCCATACAACTCATGACTCCCAATAAAACATCCCAATCCACCCGATTTTAAGCTTTTTCCAGATCTAGCTTAATCATGGCTCTTGACTTACCACTCAAAGCCCTCGAATGGATACACTCCTGTGCTATCAACACTCCATAAGGTATGATATGTCCTTTTATAAATGTTGTTTGTGAACTTATAACAACACTGTTGAGAATCCCCTTCAATATCTCTACCAGGACTTTTGCAATTATCTTATACAGACTAGTCAGGAGACTAATAGGTCGGATATCAGAGATACTTGAGACATAGTGTTTTTTCGGGATAAGTGCTATATCTGTGGAATTTATCACATTGCTAAGGGAACCCTTATCCAAAAACTCATTCACTATCATTATTATTTCCATTTTGATAAGGTTCCAAAAAATTTTAAAAAATCACAAAGGATAACCATCCAGGCTAGAGGATTTATCCCCAGGCAAAGAGAAAACGACCTGCTTCACTTCTTCTTTTGTAGCCCAAAACTCTAGGGATTATACCTCCTCCTATGAGAACCTTTTCAAGGTTAAACTCAACAAATTCAGTGTAAAATTAAGCTCCCTTGTGAACAAGCTTTTAAAATGCTGAATAAAGCTTTCTTCCCAAGCCACCTTATTATCATTATAAATTCCACCAAACTGGACCCTTGAGATATCATTATGTATTCTTCTTTAGTTTGCGATAGCATGAAAAAATTTAGTATTTAAGTCTCCCTCTTTTAACCACTTCACCCTTAATCTCCGTCTCCAATTAATTTCTTCTGCCCTAAGATGCTCCTGTAAAGAATTTAACAAAACTAAATTTCTCCTCTTTTAGCTGATGAGTGTAAAGACCCCTCATTTTGAATAGACTGCTCAATCAAACCAAAATTCAGCATAGTCTCCTCTATCTTTTGCTTAATATGGTATTTAATATCTTTTTTCCACTTAATCACCTTATGCTTCAAAATCACCAATTTCTTATGTACCCTATATCCATTGCCCCCGATAATCACATTATTGTTCCAACTTTGCTTAATTAAATCAACCACAACCTTCTCTTCCTATTTTAAAATGTAGAATTAAAGATGCATCTCAAAAGTCCATCATAAAAGGTTGTTTGGATATTGAAAAACCGTCTAATTGATCTTCTAGATATCGAGATGTACGAATATAAAAAGAAAAAAAATTTCAATTCGCAAAATAGTGTATCTTGCAACACATTATCAAGACCGTCAATTTTCAAGATTTTTATGTGTTTAAATATCTACTTGATTTGAACCATTTTTAGAGTTTAAAATTATATAATTTGAGATAAAAATAGATTTTTAAACTATCTTAAGAATTTTTGAACTCAAAATTTCATTTATAACAAAAAAAATTAGAGATAGGATTTAATTGGATTGTTTAATTTTGCAACCTCATGCAAACCACACCCTAAATTAAAACTTCACACTTGCAAGTTTGCTGCTTAAGTACCGTACATTAGTATAAGTTTATATATCCGAAAAACTACAATCATTACTCAAAAGTGTCGTCAAAGCCTAGAAAAAAAAAAACGGCGTTTTCGTCAATTTGTACATAATATATTGATTACAAAGGCGTTACGTGAAGCTGAAAATATATAAATAAATAAAATAAGCGGACTCCGGAAGCCATTGAAATCCGGTTTACGCTGCGCCTTCAGGAACCGAAACCCTATGCACGCACGCACATGTATCCACCCTCCATTGAAATCCCCATTCATATTCCCAACTCCACCTCCTCTCTCTCTCTGTCTATTATCGAGTCTTGCTTCCACCATTGGTCTCTCTCGCTCTCCTACATTTTCGATTCTCGTTTTGTGCTACGCCGCAGTGGACAGTTTTGAAGGTCAAGGAAAATTGCAGGGTTTCGATTCTAACTGTAGGGCATATATCCATCCCTCTCTCTCTCTCTATCATTCTGAGAGGCCAGAGAAGGTCATGGAAAATTGCAGGCCCTCTCGGTTTTCAGTTCAACTCTAGGCCTGCATATTTTTCTCTCTCTCTCTCTCTCTCTCTCTCTTTCTCTCTTTCATTCATTCAATCTATTCTATACGGAGAAGACGAAAGCCCTTTGGAAGGTCGCCCTGCTCTTTGATGCCCTAGCTTTTGCTCCCTTCTCCTTCGGCATAATTACAAACCCTAGGAGCTGTTGATTTCGTTCCAACGTGTGTCTGTGGTAGTGGGCATTGGTGCAGATGCCCTTTGCTGCACATGCCTCCAGAACCTTCTCCTTGGGATCGGAAGGAATACTTGAGGGAGAAGAGGACCGATGCCACCACCACCTCCTTTAATAGTCGTATATTTGCCCAGGCCCTCCGCCCTCCTGGTATTAACAGTGCCTTCCTATTCCTTGTTTTTTTTTGTTTCCTTCTTTTGATTCCATTGTTTCTTCTTTTCAGTTAAGTTTTAGGGCTTGGATGTTCTGAGATCAATCTTGTTACTTCCTGTTGTTTTTATTTTCTTATTTCTTTCAATGATTGCTTTTGATATTTGGCTTGTGATTTTTGTTGAAACGTCTCTTGAGCTGGAACCCTCTTTGCATTCTGGTTTCTAGAAAAAAAAAAAAAAAAAAGGCAAATCACATCTGATCTGAATCATCTGATTATGATTATGGTTTTAGGTTGATCGTGTATCTTCCATACATCGACCCATTTTGTTCTATTTTTGTTGTGGTGTTTTGTCTCATTAATTTCCTTGGGGTTTCTATGCATGTATGCATGTATTCCTAATTAGGCTAAATATTTGCCTTTAGCTTCTTTCATACCTGAATTTATATTCCAATCTCTCTACACTAGTGATTTGCATCCCCAGTAGTTGGGCTCTCGACTTTGTGTGCTGACATGATGATATGAATCCATTCTCACTGGTTTGTGAAGGTCAAAACAAGCAAGGTGTCCACCGCAATCAGTTCTCCCCCCAAGAATCTCATCATGGTTGCTCATCAAGAACGGCCACTGATTTCATGCCTCATCCAGAGGATGAGAGGCTTTGCATTTCTAGGGCAGCAGAGGCAAAACACAGGAGTAATAGCAATAATACTAATAGCAAGACGAATGACGATAGGTCTATGCAACAACATAGGGATTTCAAGTGGGAAGGGTTCCCGGAGATTAGGCCTGATCTGAGGCCTGTTGCTGACATGCTAACTCACCAACCATCATCTGAAATTGGGAGCTCGTTGGAGAAGACCCACAATCAGTCTAACTCTAAAGATCAGGAGAATGCCAGCAAGGGGAGCATTGGTTTATTGATTGGCCACAAGACATTGGATAACAATAACACCAGGAGATATTCAGAGAAGGCGGCCTTAGAGCCCCACCTTGAGCGGCTCGGGAGCTTTGGTAGTGACAGTCACTCACAGGAGCATGACCATTCACTGAGCTCGATCGGTTGGAAACCTCTGAAATGGACGCGTTCAGGAAGCTTAACTTCTCGGAGCCCATCTATACTTAGCCACCATTCAAATAGTTCCAAGTGTATAAAATTAGAGACGGACATGGGGGTTGAGAATCTCTCTCGAGGGAAATCCTCTCCACCTCTTCAGTCGCCTTCGGGGATTGTTGGCACGGCTTCTTCGTCCTCTGCACCATTGGAAGAGACTTGCCCTAGCAAGAAGAAACCACGGCTTGGTTGGGGTGAGGGCCTGGCAAAGTATGAGAAAGAGAAGGTTGAGGGTCCAGATGATAGTATTGGCAACAAGAATGACTCAACAAATAAACAAGGGATGGTTGTTGTTAACACATCTGTGTTGAACTTGCAAGATAGCAGTCCTAGACTGGTGGATAGATCCGGGTGTGCTTCTCCTGCAACTCCATCATCTTCTGTTGCCTACAGTTCCTCCCCAGGTTGGTCGGTTGGTTCACTGGCTAGATCTCTTTCAAAGTATTACTCTTTGCTTTCTTAGTTTGCCATTCCTGCAATCTTTCTTTCTGATTGTGGGTCTCTGTTTCGCACATCCTTCTTTTTGGGCAATCTAACCTGATCGAATTGCCATAATTACTGAAATGGGGTTTATCATGGTCCTCGCTTTATTGGGGACACTGCTTATGTTTGCTGTTTTAGGACTTCTTCTCTCGTGGTCTATGTCTCCTTATATGGGACCTTTTTGCACACTGATATCTGTAGTCAGGTGCCACGCACATTAGTACAAAGTCTTTTTGTGTTTTGGCTGCACTAAACTCTTGCTGTCGCTCTTTAAAGTGATTCTATTTTGCAATATTTCTTTCTGTGTCACTGTTTTGGTAGCTTGGCAAATTATTCCTCCTATAATTTGGAGGATTTACTTTAGTGCTTTGAGTCTAATTTTTCCTCGGGTATAAAGCTACAGTTGCTAGTTGTTGTACTAGAATTGATAATTAGATGCTGCTCTTGCATTCAGTTTTTTAAGCTGTTGTGAATGTTCATTTTAAATGTTTGGAAGCAGGTTTGGAGGACAAATCCTTTGTGAAATTCTCTGGTACTGAGACCGGCCATTTTAATGAATCGCCGGCTCATGAATATCTAGGCGTTGTTGATGGATCCCCTGCGAAACTAGAGCATTTGGAGCTTAATCCAATCTCTGATGTGAACTCTCTTGCACTTGACTTGCTGCAAACTGAGGAATTGTGCTTTGGTGATTCTCACTTCACCAGGACTACTGCCATAAATAGGATGCTTCTGTTGAAAAATGACATTCTGAAGGCATTGGAGAAGACGGAGAGCGAGATCGATGTGTGTGAAAATGAATTAAGGTCATTGAATACAGAGATTGATTCTGGGCAACTGTGTTCTATTGCTTTTGATTGTGTTCCAGAATCAAGGAAAGAAGAATATAATGCTGCATTGGAGATGATGTCTGACTCTATGCCTAATTTGAATGTTTCTGCTGAGGTTCCAGGTGTAGTTGAGGTGACCAGGCATGAGGACGAAGAGGTCCACCTTCCAAGCGAGACTGTCGCTGATGATGAGTTGGATTTTTCCATATCAAAAAATTGTGGACTTCCCTGTACTGACAGAGAATTGTTGGGATCTGATGCATCAGAATTGCAACCTGAAGGTTGTGTTGTTGATTTAGAGGAGCCTGTGGGGTTACCAAGTCCAAAGGGGATTGCTTCTGAGTCATCTGCTGTAGATATGGTTGGACACGTTGTGAACACTAGTTGTGATGTCAAGTTGCATTGTGGAGATGACAATATTTTTAATGCTTTGATATTCTCTTCTAACAAAGATTTAGCAAGAAAAGCTACGGAAGACTTAGCCAAAGCACTGCCTAGTGGTCCCTTACCATGTGATATTCCTTTAGTCAGAAAGTCCTTGGAGATTGACAGTAGCATGTCAAGTAGAAGGGATTTGAAGCAAATAGAGGAAAGGCTGGCCAGGCGAAAGAGGTTTTTGAGTTTTAAGGAACGGATTCTGACACTCAAATTTCGGTCTCTACGCCATCTGTGGAAAGAGGATATGCGACTGCTGTCTGTTAGAAAGCATCGGGCAAAACCACAAAAACGCTTTGAATTGAGTTGCCGTTCGTCACAAAGTGGGCTTCAAAAGCACCGGTCATCAATTCGATCACGATTTACATCACCTGGTTAGTTTTTGTTTTGACTTCCCTGATAGTTACTTTTTATTTTGTCTTTTGACCATGAGATATTCCATTATTTCATTTAAATTGCATTGTCTTGCTGCTCTCATGTCTGATCCCAAGCTAGTGTGGCACCCCGGTTGTGTGTTGGGGTTGTTTATGTTAATTATCAGTTCAGAATGACTTGCGTAATGTTTTTGTTATATAGTTTAGAGCAACTATTGTGGGTAATTCTCCAATTGGAACATCTTGTGTGATTCTGTGGCTTCATCCCAACTTTATTGAACTTAACATTTCTTCCGTTTGCATTCGTGACTTATATTTTATTTTTATTTTTGAAATTTCTTTCTTGAATTACATTGGCAATCACCAATTACATGATGGTGACATTGTTTTTGATCTAAAGTTACAAATAGGTTGTTGCAATGCTAAATTGTTTGTTTTACTGTTTTTTATTTGCTCAGATGTATTCCTTATTGTTTGTTAAGTTTTTCTTTGCAGGTTCTGATTGAGAGGAATTTTAATGGTTACATGCTTAAACCTTTTGGGCTAACTTTTTTGGTGGTGGTTTTCTTTCAATTTTTTTTTTTTGCTTTTCTATTCTTATCAATTTTAAACTTCAGAAGTAACGAAGAAAAATAAGCCGAGAGAAAATAAATTTCTAGTTTGACAAATAGTAATGCTAGTGTTATAAACCTCAAAACAGAAAGGAAAAAAGAACTTCTGTACTTTTTGTTGACATAGGTTAATAATTGTATATGACTTACTTTCCACTTTGAGTTGGTCTCAAGCTGTTCAATGACTTTGCTCTCACTTTTTTTGGTGACTTGGTTGCACAATATTGCATTAGCATTGCAGTTCATACTTCTTATTTTTTTCATTTTCTTCTTTTATTTTTTTGGGGAAATTTCTAAAGTTGGCTTCTTTATCTTCTGTTTCATTACTATTGTGGTTCCTTGGTTTCTATTTTTGGGAAATTTCTAAAGGCAGTTCACATAACAAATGTTCTTCTACTATTTTCTTTATAAGATTGGGCCATTGGTTGCTTTCTTGGCTTGTATAACAACCTGGAAACTAGATTTTCAACCAAAGGAGGCATCTTCCTTTTTATTTCATTGGAGAGAGTAGGTTTAATGCAAAAGCTTGGAGTTGATGGATCAAACCACTTGCTACTTGTAGTGGGTGCTAGGGTGGAATAACATTATACAGACCTGATCTAGATATTTTGATGGACAAGACTGCCGAAAGTAGTACCTAAAGAGGGTCTGAGCCATATTACAACAAACCAACTTAAAAAAAAGGGTGCCAGCTAGAACTGGTGTTAGATCAGTCAGGCTTTACATCTTGTTTTCTTTATCCCCTGAAATTTGTATTTATTGTTACTTAGTTTTAAATTAGAGTTTCAGGAATGGTCCTATCGTTAAGCCCACCAGCTGGGTCTTTTTTGACTGGAGTTCTCAGCTGGGGTTTGACATGCTGTTCTGGTCTTTATGGCGATGGTGTGGATCACTTTTACTAATGAAACAAAAGCGGATAAGGCCATGCCTCTCGATATTGGAGGAGGATGAATTAGATGACCAACTTCTCCATACTTTTTATGAGATTCTGTTGTGTGTGGTCGTACTATTTGTATTCACATCCTTGGTTATTGAAGTTTGAACATAAGGATTCTTATAAGTTTGTCTAAGTACTATCAAGATTATAAGCGTTCTTAATTAAGAGTCGATAGCATTAAGACTTGTATTATGAGATTATAGCATTAAGGGTTTTGTATTAAGAGATCATTGTCGTAGTTGATGGTTCTGTAACAGTTTTCTGGTTTTGAAATTCAACCAAAAAAATAGTAAGTGTTAAATTAATCTTGCTTTCAGTATTTATTTTAATACTAAAATTCCTTAGCAATTTGTGTTTTTTTTTTTTGAGAGAATGTTGACCATTTATTATTACCTGATGGTATAAATAAAAACTTTTCAATAATTAATCTTTGTTTGTAGTACTGTATTATTCTAATAACTGCTATTTCTTAGCAAATTGTTTTTCTGGGAGAATGTAAATTATTTATCATCACCCAATCATATATGGAAAAATATTTATTGAGTATACATTATTTAGTTTTTGATTTTTGCATGGTTAATTGCCTATATTCCCCCATGTGAAATGCATATTGACTAATTAAATGGTCCTAGGTTTGTATTGATCTGACTCAGTAGGTTGTCGCCAATTTGATATAGTTAATTGTCTCATTAAGCTTAAAATCAGATTCCACCAAGTCAACTCAACTCAGTCACTAAGCTTGTTTTATAATGCAAAACAAGCATCTGGGGCAAGCTTTTAATTTATCCAATATTCTTTGATGAAAATCTGGCTGAAAATTGGATTTGGTCGTTTTGGTGGCATTGGCCTATAAGAGGTCTTGAGTTTGATACTTGTGGGTGCTTTTATTTGTAGGAGTCTTCCCTCCCTCATCTACATAATTTAAATAGTTTATCTCTTAGGTGCATTTTGTAAAATTTCCCTAATTTTTATCTCATCCCTTCTCTCTAGTTTTTGGGTCTCTCTCTCTCTCTCTCATGATATTTATGGCTAGGCGTCCCTTAGAATTTTGGGGTGAGTTTCTTTTGTTCGCTACATCCATTCTTATTAAAATCTTTCCAACTCTCCATTTTCTTTGGTTCTCTCCATTTTTTGTGTTCATTTATAAAGTTTAAGGTTTGGTTGCTCTCATTGACTGGTAAATTTGGGTTGCATCTCTCTAATTATTTGTCATGATCTTTCTTCTAAGGTAGAAAGAGGTACTAAAAAGTGCACGACACTGGTCTCAAACCCCTATTCGAGGAGGATTTCTCGCTCTCCCACCCTTGCTCTGCGTCAAAGTCATTACTCTCACAATAAAACACAGAGATAAAGAGCAAGGTTGAGCCACTAGGTTAGTGCTTAGGTATATATTTTAGGGAAATTTAGCAAAACACAAGAGATTAATTATATGACATTTAACCCTTTTGCAACTATTCCAACATGTGATCATGTGTCTTTTGATGGGCATGTTGAAGGTGAATCGAAAGATATGGATAAGATCAAATAGTTAATCTCTCATGGGTATTTGAATAAATTTCCATTGACTTTATTATATGTAACCTTTTGTTGTTTCAAATTACATTGTAACGGAAGTACATGTAATGGTTTTAATTCACTTCTTTAATCTGTTGATTATTTAATTTTTTCTTCAGATCTATTTGTCCAAAATAAGGATCTTTGATAAACTCACTGAGTTTTTCTGAGTTGTCAAGTTGGCTTATCTCTGGCTTTGTCCTATTTGGGGACCGAGTTGATATTTTAAACACTGGTTTATGGTAATAAAAGATTATTGATTGATAAAATATTGGGAAAGTACTAGACAGTTTGAAATTAATATTTGGTACTAGTACAACTGTTGGTATTTTGAAAATTGAGTATGACAAACGAGGGAATGAGAAGAAAGAAAGAAAGAAAGAAAAATGAATGGGGGCATGATGCTCCTTATTATTCTGCTGGCAAATATATTAAAGTCCGAGCTATGCCATAGGCATCTAGTTCCATATTACAAGTGTGTTATTGTCAATTTAGAGTTTCTTATTACAATTGATTTTCTTTGCCTTGAAGGGCTCCATCATCATGTCTTATAGGAGATGTCATAACATTTGTGATCTAACTCACGAAACTAATGTTTAATAAAAAATTAACAAAATTAATCTTCAGTTCACTGTAGTGACGTCTTTGGCCATCATCATGTAGCTTGTTGTTAAAGTAATGACCCAAGGTCATCACCTCTGAGGTCGTCACTAGCTTATCATGGGCTTGTGCATCAGTAAGACACTTTACAACATTGGGTTCAGTTTCTCTTGCTCTTGGTTTAAGAAGATTTCTCCACATGAAATCTCTGGGGCTGTCCTGGCTTGGGTTGAAACTCAGCTGAAAAGGCCTCTAGGATCCTTGGGAGTTGGTTTTTTCTCTACTGTTTACCTTCCCTTTAAAAAAAGAAAAAAAAGAGAGCAGAAAAATTCCAGCTTCTTTCTTGGGTTGATTAGTGTGAGATTTGAACCTAGGAGGTGGGGTTTTAATGGTTAATGCTGTGAAGCCATTACCTGAATCTTGAAAATAGAACCTCCATCCTCTTCTCCAACCCATTCAGGTGAATTATCAATCTTGCTCCTGCCAGCATCTCAAGTTTTATCTTGTTAACAGCTCTTATCTTATTGGAAAAAATGACATAATTACTCTAATGTCCATTCTAGTTTATTGAAGAATATTAGAATATTACAATTTATAATTCAAGTCGTGGCAAGGTTTCCAAAAACTCTAGGTGGCGGGCCAGCGCCTAGGTGGGTGCCCAGAACCTCAGCCGTCTTGTATTACAAATTCTTTATATATATATATATATATATATAGGTAGGTAGGTAGGTAGGTAGGTAGGTAGGTAGGTAGGTAGGTAGATAGATAGATAGATAGATGTGCTGTCTAAACGCACATATATACATATATTTGTGTCAATTCCATAATTTATTACATTTGTATGTATTGTAACATGCTTTTTCAAGACAAACATATCGCATGTTAGGAAAGGGGCTGGGGATGTGGTGGTAGCATCCCCGCATCCAGTTACCACATCGTGGTATCCATTCCTACCGCTGACACCCCCAATTAACACCTTCAAAATGTAACTCCCTAATCTATTGAAAAAATGGGTAGGGGCCTGTCTTCCTCACCAGTGTTTCAAAAAGCGGACCGCCCAGCGCCTAGGCGCATCGCCCAGGCCTTGGCGGCCAAATTAGGCAGGTATCCTCGGGCGCCCGCCTAGGCGCCCGGGAACCCGCCTGAACAGGTGGCCACCTAGGGCTTGTGCCCCGCTCAGGGGCCGAAATGCCGTTCGTTGAGGCCATTTTTGGGTTATTTTTTTTAATATTAAAGGTACAAAATTGTGGGTTTTGGGTTTCAAATGAACCTCAAACCCATTAGAGGCTATTTTAGAA